GTGCTTATATGTAAGTGTATCACCTCCAATTGGTATGAGGCCTTTTAGGGTGAAGCTCAAGAGCAAAACCGTGCGGGCTCAGGCCCAAAGCGGACAATATCATACCATGTGGTGGAGTGGGTCATTACAAATGGTATCAGAGCCTGACCCAGCCGAAAGTGTGCGGACGGGGACGTCGGGCCTCCAAGAGGGGTGGATTGTGATAACCTTGTGGGCGGGTGTGCCATGGGCGGGTGCAAGAGACACTGTCAGGCTATCACACTGGCGAGTTACGGGTGCACAGTCCCACATCGCCTGGGTAGAGGAAAGGTGAAGTGTTTATATGTAAGTGTGTCACCTCCAATTGGTATAAGGCCTTTTGGGGTGAAACTCAAGAGCAAAACCGTGCGGGCTCATGGCCAAAGCTGACAATATCATACCATGTGGTGGAGTGGGTCGTTACCCACATCGCCTGGGTAGAGGAAATGTGAAGTACTTATATGTAAGTGTGTCATCTCCAATTGGTATGAGGCCTTTTGGGGTGAAATCCAAGAGCAAAACCGTGCGGGCTCAGGCCCAAAGCGGACAATATCATACCATGTGGTGGAGTAGGTCGTTACAAATGGCATCAGAGCCTGACCCAGCCGGAAGTGTGCCGACGGGGACGTCGGGCCTCCAAGGGGGGTAGATTGTGATGACTTTGTGGGCGGGTGTGCCGTGGGCGAGTGTGGAGACACTGCCAGGCTACCACACTGGCGAGCTATAGGTGCACAAGTCCCACATCGTCTAGGTAGAGGAAAGGTGAAATACTTATATGTAAGTGTGTCATCTCCAATTGGTATGAGGCCTTTTGGGGTGAAACCCAAGAGCAAAACCGTGCGGGCTCAGGCCCAAAGCGGACAATATCATATCATGTGGTGGAGCGGGTCGTTACATTAATCCATTCTCTTATTCCAGAATAGGTAGGATTTAGTATTTTGAACTAATCCATTCCTAATATGTCGCCGTCTCATATCGGTGCATATAATCCACAAATCCATCAACTGATGAAATAAATAATAAATTAAAACACCAATTAATCACATATAAGCATAATAATTTTCAGATAATCAACTACGTTATTACATTGCTGTAACATGATTAACATTTTTTTAATCATACATAGCAAAATTTCTAAAATACGAGTAAGCAATTGAATCATTTATTAAATCACCAACATGTAGATTTACTGTTTATTCCTGTTGTTCCATTTCTTAGCATATTACTGAAAGTCATGCTTCCAAGTATTTGTATATGTCCACAGCAGTTATTTAAATCATTTAAAGCAACTTAAATAACTTAGGAATATTCCAAGTGGCCAAACAGAACCCAAACTAGGGAAAAAAAACAATTTTGAAGAAGAGAGCCGCCTCCATTACAAAGAGAGCCGGCTCTCCCCTTATGAGAGCTGGCTCTATCTTACTTAGAGCCGGCTCCCTCATTTGAAGAGCCAGCTCTCTCTCCCTGAGAGCCGTATTCCGAAACCTATCATCGTCCTCGCTTTCGGCGATGTGTAGAACCCTCTGTACTGTTTAGTTTAAGTTCATAGGGTTCAATCTATGTCCATAAACTACAATATGCATCACTAACATAAATTTAAAACATATATGTGAAAATAGTTGATACGATGAACCAGTTTAAATTTACAACACAGAAAACAGTTTAACTCTGATTTAATAATATGTATACAAGATCAAATTAATGTCCGATTATATCCTGGAGATTATCTAGGCATGCACAGAACACGAGTCTGCAGAAAATGGCAAGAAATAGAACTTGTCTTTTATTTCAGTTTTGAAACCTTAAACTTTTTTCACTGATAAATTCGACGACCTTGGTTGCTTTCACAGACCCTCCGTTGCTCTTGGTTCAACCCACGAGCAAGTGTCAATCACCTCTCCTTGGTTCAGCCTTTGTTCTTAGCCAAACCCTAATTCTCCCTCTCTCAGTTTTCTCTCAAAACTTTCTGTTCGTAAATAAGGTTTTTAATCCTTTGCAGACATATACTGATATATTTATTTAGGCTTATACAACTTTAATCCGCCTCCCATTCTAAGTCGGTGAACTTAAAGAAAAATGAAAGAAAATATAATATAATTATATATACATATAATGTCCTACACGTGATAATCAAATACGTACATATAATTATAATTATATATATACGTATACCCTACTAACCTGAAATTACTAAGATTAGAATTATAATAAATAATTATTAATAACAATAATTCTCCATCCTTATATACATGTATATATTAAATATATATACAACTATCCATATATGGGTAAATATCCGTACCCATAACCAACTCCCATTCAAGTAGTATATGCAACCTAACTGTTGGCCCATTACTACTATCAATTTAAAACCTTTTTAAAATAAAAATAAACATAAAAATTACGCATTTAATATACAAATAATTCATGAAAGCAAACAATATTTAATAAAACAAAGAAACAATTACTGCAATTACTACTTAAGCATCTAATTAAATTAAAACAAATAATTCAATTAAACAATCAAGCAAAAAACTCAAGCAATTAATTTAAAAAGGAAATAAAACAATAAAAACCATAAAATAAATACTGAACCTATCCTTTTAAAATTAGGGATATTACATTTAATATATATATATATATATATATATATATATATATATATATATATGTATATGTATGTATGTATGTATGTATAACATCTTCCTTAATAATATTTAAAATCATATATACATATATATCAATAATTATATGTATAACACCTTCCTTAATAATATTTAAAATCATATATACATACATATCAATAATTATATATATATATATATATATATATATATATACGTCCATCCATACAAAACATACATTAACTAACTCATATGTACACGTATATAATTAAATATACATATACCTCCTCCCATCACCAATTATTAATTAATTATATATACGCAATTAAATACCGTAGTGATATTCTATGGCTCTCAGAATACCAAGAACGCATCCTTTAATGGTTGCTTCTAACCTTAACAGGCTTAAAATCAGTTCTGGGACATCACTAGACCCCACAGGAACCCGCACGTATCTCCACGCGCTCCCACGCTCCTCTACACGCGCCCAGAATGTCCCTACGCACTTGCACGCGCTCCCCTTCACTTGCAGGCGCGTCCACGCGCCTGCACGTGCCTGATTGGGCCTTTTGCGTGTGTTGTCTTATTCCAGTTGGCTGACCTCTGCATGCTTATGCACTCGCCTAAAATAAAATAATTAATTTAAATATAATAATTACAAATAATTAACAAACAATTCACACAAGCATAAATACACACAAATTAAATAAACAATTCAATCAAAGCATTGCACAAAGCAAAACCCCATATCAATTTAACAAATATAATCACGAAATATAATCTAATTAAAATAAGATAATTGATCTAAGCACCCAATTAAAATAAGAACAAATCATATAAAAATAAAATAAAATCAATTAAACCCAATTAAATCAAATAAATCATTTAAAAATAAAAATAAAAGTAATTAATCCTAATTAATAAATCTTTTAAAATGACGGAGTATTACATTACCTCCCTGTTAGTCACGCGTGTGTTATTTTACCACTAAATTGTATATTGCTTAAAAATGTCATTTCAAACATTAAAAGAACAAAAATGACATTTTCTCAAATTTCTCTTAGACATCACAAGAATCTATCACGTGCCTTGCATAAATCATAATTTCAAAGTGAAATTTATGTTGAAATATATTATTGTAAGACTAAGATGTATGTCACAACTATTTACAAAATCAATACTATAAGCAATACAATAATAGTCCACTATAATCAATACTACTATTTATAGGCATTTTTTGGTTGGAGTTAGGACACATAATTGTGTACCCCAAGAGTAAAGCACCTGAACGTGACCCGTGAGCATCAACCTGTAAATAAGAATATTATGAAAATGTCACAATAAATAAAGAAACAAATAAAGAAACTGCTAGTCATAAAAATCCATATTATAAGATAACTCATAATTTTTTGCACACACTGTGTCTCCAGTAATCACTCAATAACGAAAATGACATTCCATTATATAATCTTAGTTTATGATTCGGAAATTAAACTTGAGCTTTCTGTTTGTCTAGATTCGCTTGAACTTAAAATACTGATATATATGTTATTCTTATTTAAATGACGTACAAACAAAACTCAGTTCAAGCGAATGAAATTAAATGTCTCCAAAATCCATATTAATATATATACGTATATATAAATAATTAATCATCGATGGATTATTATATTAAGAGAGTGACATATATAAGGTAAATTATTAGCCGGAAATGAAAAATCAGCTGGTGGGCCCAAATATGTATTTAAAATTTAAATTAATGATGCCTACGGAGTTTCTCTTTGATTGGCTTGGACCGTCGACCGCCTTCAGAGGCTGTCTATAGTTGACATAACTTCCAGTAATTTGGATTACAAGAATACCCCTAAATCCTAATGTTGATTGAAAGTTAGCTGAGACGGGTCAAACACCAAAACTCGTCTAACTCGGTTAGTTTGACTTGCCTTAACCAGTTTTAGGTTGACTTGGAAGAATGGACTTAAATTGATGTTCAAATTGAATCCAATTCTTATTCCAACTTTCGTTTTGCTGACCCATTTTTTAAAATTTTTATTTTTATTTTTATTTTTGTTTATTATTATTATTATTTTTTATCTCCTCTGCTGCTCCAATCTGCCTATTATAATATGACATAGTTGACATTATGGGTACAAAATTTTCATCTTTATACTGAAATTCACAATAAATTGAATTTTTAGATTGTACAAAGAAAAAATATATATATTTTTAAGCATTTATAAAAATATTTTATCTTATGAAGTATGAAATTCCCTGAAATTCAGCTGCCTAGCCATGGTCTTTCAACTTACGAGTTAATTCAACTCAGTCCGAGTTCTAGCTGTCAACTTTTGATATTTGTGTGAGTCGAAGGTCGCACTTGACTGTAAATAAATACAATTTTGAGGGCATCAAGATAAACAATCAATTCTGATCCTCATTTGCACATCCTATATAAACTCCCAATTACGAAACTTCAAAGTTCAAACCATTGTCTCAAACCCCTCCTCTCCAACCAAAAGATGTCAACATTAAAAACACCTACACCCACCGCCACCACAGAAGAAGGCGGCGCCACCACATTCGCCGCCGTCCACCCGGACCTCCTCCGGTCTCACATCCTCACCCGCCTCGACGGCCCGACTCTCGCCTCCGCCAGCAGCGCCTCCTCCCAACTCCACGCACTCGCCGCCGACGACCACATCTGGACCAACATTTGTCACTCTACGTGGCCGTCCTCCAGCGCGCCACGTATTCGTCACATCATCTCAACGTTCCCCAACGGCGGCCGCTCCTTCTTCGCCGACTCCTTCCCTCTCGCCCTCCCCGATCCCACCACCAACTCTCCGTCAAATCTCCACCCTCCATCTCCATCTCCATCATCATCATCATCACCAGAACTGATCTCAGCCGTTGATATCCACTACCAGAACAAGCTCATATTCACCAAAGTACAAGAAACCGAGACTTTGACCGGGTGGTTCCTTTGCTCACCCTTCAGAATTGATCTATTGGACCCCAAAGACATGGTCCACACAGCAATAAAACACCCCAAAGGTGACGACATGTGTACGGATCTGGCGGAGGAGATGAGTCTGAGCTGGATAGTGATCGATCCGATCACACGGCGGTCGATGAATTTGTCGAGTTACAAGCCTGTTTCGGTGCAACGGCATTGGTTGAGCGGCGAAGTGCAGGTGCGGTTTGCTTCGATCCTGGCCGGTGATAAGAAGGGTTCCGCATCGGAGTTGGTGCAGTGCGGGATAGTGGTCACGTGCGGTGCGTCGGAGGAAGGGGAGATGCAGGTGAGGGAAGTGAACTTACAGGTGGACGACATGGACGGAATGTTTTTGACGGGGAAGGAGAGTTTGGTAATTCTGCAGAGGGCATTGGAGGGTAAAAGGGGAAAAGGAGGGAGGAAGAGGGAGGAGGAAGGAAGAGGAATATACCAAGAGTACTTGGAGAGGAAGAGAGAGAGAGGAGAGAGAAAGTTGAGGACAGAAGGGACTTTAGATACGTTGTGTGTGGGTTTTGGGCTATCCATTTTCGCCCTTTTTTGCTTCTTTGTTTTGTGCAGATAACTAAAAAGAAAGAAAAAGTAGACATATATAAATTATTTACACACAAATATACTAATTTTTTTGTATTCACACTCGATGCAAACTGCAAGCACATGTTTTTCATAAGAATTTTCTCGTGTATATATGAAGGTACATTAGGGTAAACAATAAATTAAAAGGCATTAATTTGATTAATTCTTAGTGTCAACATTTTCTTTTTGATTGTCTTGATTGAGGAATTTCTAATCCTATTGAATATGTTTTATTCCGATGAAAAAAAAGAATAAATGACCGGAGCAATACGTATGGGTGATCCCTTGAATGAATGTGAACTTGTGTGAAGCTCTAATTTCTATCTATAGTGTTTTTCTTATTACTATTCCCTCTTTTTTTTTTTTTTTTTTCATCCTAGTCACTACCAAAACAGCACGACGAAAAAAATTAATAATAATAATAATAAAAGACTTAGATACAACAGCTTAAAAAAAAAAAAAAAGAAAAAAAAAAAAGAAAAAAAAAAGAGTCCATATGTCTGCGTTGTACCAATTTTTTTTTAGTGTAGCGTGCTGTTAAAATAATAATAATAATAATAATAATAATAATAATTTACGGGCTATCACCTAACCGATTATAATGTATGACATCAAATCCAGTTACAGTAGCTCACATCATAAAGCGTAAAGCTAGGTGACCGGCTAACTTAAAAAAATCAAACATACAGTTCTTTCATACTGAGGGAAATATTTGACTTATTGTAGATAGTTGGATTGAAGATATGAGAAGGATAAAAGTGGCATGGTACACATTATATGCAAGTTTTTTTTCCCACCACCACCCCTCACACAGCTGAACAATCACGGCACCCCATCTGTCTCCTCAATTCCACACTTCACGTAGCCATTTTTCTCACTTGAGAAAATTGTCCAAAATTTCCAAACCATGAAAAATAAAAAAGACAATAATAAGGCAAAATAAAGGTTAAACTCCTCTCAAATTTCACTTTCATCCTTTTTCATTTCTTTTTTTATTTTTTATTTTTTATAAAAACTTCAATTATCTTTTTCTCAAATGGCGTGGTTATTGGAATAGCCATACACTGCACATAAGGGACGTAATGTGTATTCCATTGAATCTGAACATATTTTAAGAGAGAACAAAGACAACAGTGAACCAGACACCTAATGTTCAGTCGTTGTTGCTCTTTCTTGATATAAAATTTTAGATGTAACCTTTTGAGAGTGATTTGTGTACACCAAAAATAAATAATAATAATAATAATAATAATAATAATTGAAAACTACATCATCTCACCCAAAAGAGTAGGCATTGAAGAAAAAACGTCAATGACAGATTTCTCTCTCATTTTCGGTCCCTGTCTCCCTGGGTATGAGTTAACCTTTCTGTCATATTCAGTTTTAATATGCTCAATAAATGTACGAGACTATAACAAAATAATAAAAATATCTGAAAATTTGGTTCACGTGGAAAAGTTGTTTCTTCTAATTATAAAAGAAGCAGCAAACAAAATAAAAAATAAGCTTCAAACAAACAAGATTACTGCTGAAGAAAATGACCATAAAATGCATTTAGTGAAAAGTACTACCAAAAAAAAAAAAAATTAAACAATTTATGTTCTAGATTATTGGTCAGTATGATTTATAAAATTATTACATAAAGATTTGTATCCTCCCTGTATATTGATTAATTAATTAATGGACAGATAAACAGAAGCAGGGTATTCAATTAAAATGTTGCTTGGTTGAAGAAACATCTAGGTCTCTACTGGGACAAACATGGGGTCAGGGTATGGGTGCAAATTTAAATTGTGATTTTTTTTTAGTTATGATTTTGACACTTCAGACTTTTCCAACACGTTTGGGTTTCCCCACTTATCTTCAATAAAAACCAACCATTTCATGTTGCCCACTTGTCTTCAATAACAACCAACCATTTCATGTTCTCTGTATTTTGTTAGTATCTCATATCACCTCTGTTCTGGAAAAATCGAATTGCATGTGAGAGTAGCAAATCATTTGAGGGTAGCGACTGAGTTAATAAGTTTTAGTTGCATAAAATTTTACTATCATACATAATTTTGAAAGTTATAATAGCACCAGAGGCTCTCATAAATACACAAAAGTGAAAAAAACAAGTCCAGAGATAGAATTTCAACTTCCTACACAAAGCGTTACCCCAAAAGGAAGGAAAGAAGGAAAGAGTAATGACACGCAGGCCTATTTTCCAAGCTGATTTGTGCCTACATGTTTTTATCCCTTTCGTGTAATGAATATAGAAAGAGAGGTGATATATTATGTAATGCTTATAAGTCCGTCAAAACTAAGATTTACAAATTAAAAGGACCAACCATATAAATAAAAGCCAGTAACGGCACAGTGTTGAAAATCCAACAAGGACAATACAAATACCTTTTTATCGGTAAATAGGACAATACAAATTCCTATGAAGTTTATTCTTTGAACCAATAATCCTAGAAGAAATTGAGAAAGACTATTATCTGTTTGGTTGCAGGAAGCCTCAAGAATTGGATTTGTGACTGCTAGTTACTGATGCAACAATTGAACTCTTGCTTCTACCGTTGAGCGGTGCTTATGATTGCTGCTAGCAAACTGGAATCCCTAATTTTAAAGATTTGACCAGTCAGAAGAACAGGAAGGAAAGTAAGATGTATTGTTTAAGCATCCAACCTACACGCCAGTATCTTCGATACAAATTTTGCAGAAGGCCTCAGTTGTCGGCTGTTGGTTCAGGGGGTCCTCGTGCTATTGGCATCCCACCAACAGCATGAGTGCTGGGTTTCGCATTGTCCACAAAAATTATACGCCCATTTACTGTCTGTCAGTAATTACCTGTTATTTCTAAAGCTAAAAGCTAAAAAAATTGAGGATAAAAAAATGTGAGATTTAAAGGGGCATTAGGTGCTTACCTTTCCATTCATTTCTGTCAGGGCTTTCTGAGCTTCATCTTCTGATGCGAAAGTAACAAATCCGAAACCTTTTGATCTGTCGGAGACTCTATCCGTCACGATTTTAGCTGGCAAAGATAATTATGTTAAGTGACTGCTGATTGAATATCAGTAACAATTTACTCTTATTGCATGACAATAATAGCTTATGGAAACCTTCAATAACTTGGCCATATTGGGAAAATGCTTCTGATAATCCCTTCTCTGTGGTGTAAAATGATAATCCTGCAATATAGAGATTCAAAATTATAAAAATAATCACTGATAAGTCAAAAGTTTCAAATAACAATATAGTGATATCTAATGACAACAGAAGCTAAAGAAATAGTCTAGTGATAGCAACTCTTCTCTCATCTATTGATGCAAGAAAGGTTTTGTTGAACTTTGTTAACCATTTCCTTTTTTGTGGGGAATCCTCTCCGTATTTATGTGAACACTCAAATCCATTATTCTTCTATTGGTGTTATTTCATTGCAATATAGCATAATACAGTTGGCTGCACTACATCATTGGCATGATTCCAGAGTTACAGTAGCTTTCTAGATTTTTTTTTTTTCTTTTCTCAATGGTCATTTAATTTTCATTTCTTCCAAATATTATCCTCAAAAAAACCAATGATCAATACTAAAAAAAGAAATACCTGTGGAGAAGTTTCAAAAAGGAAAATATATTTATAATTAAATTGATTTAGTTCGCAACCTATTTCAGAATTCAGATGAAAATATTTAGTTGCAAATTAATAAACCTGCACCTTTTGAAATGAAGGCAATGTCTAATATTGCCAAAGAGGACATCCTCATCCAACGAAGTGATAGGAAAACAACCCCGAAGACATATCAGCAGGTTGTGACATGATTGATTATCCCAAAAAAAAAAAAAAAAAAAGGGGGTGCAGAGTATTGCAAAAAAGGAACATCTGGCTACTCTCTAGCGCAACAGAAAAGCAGACATAAATGATTCGAGAAAGCGAAACTCAAAATGATTACTCCCAACTGTGCAAAGCCCCAAAGCAATTCCTTGATCTCAATCACACCATTACAATTTAATGGAGACTGAAAGCCTCATTCTTGGTGCTCCACGCCTTTAGTTCATCAACATGGAGGATCATTTAAACTATATTATGGTAAAAATAACTTTCTGATTTCTTCTGATTATTCTGTATGATGCTAATATATCAAAGTTCTGAGCCTCTAACATGTGAAGTAGAACAGTCATTGACGAGTTCACATAAAGTGCATTATCCCTTCCACTTTTAAAATCCTATACTTGAACCCTAACAAAATGGTAACTATCACTTGCTTCCTGTACAACAGTACCACAGGTTTCGTAGCATATTTTCTGTTTCGGGTTGTTTTTTTATTTTATTTTATATAATTAGAAAAAGACTCATTTTTTTTTTTTCCATTTTCCAATTCTCATTATTGTTTATATGCACTGGTAAAATATATTGGGATATTTAGGGCAGATCAAGGAAGTGAATTCAAAATTAAAAAAAAACAATATTTCGCTGATTATTTGGGAGACTGCAATTAGCTGATAGATACACAAAGCAGTAAAAGCTGGTGGGTGCACAGTGCGCTGCTAATCACATGTTTAATAGAAGTGTCGATTGAAACTATTAATTAGCTTATTGTGTTTCAGGAACATAAATCCATATCCCAAAGTAGATATTGAAAGTAAATGAGAGAGAACATTACAAGTTGAAAAGAACATAGAGAGAGAGAAAGAAATGAGTATACCTCCAACGAAAAGCTTAGAAGCTATCCCTCTGCGGGAGATGAACAGAGATGGAGAGGGTTTGAGGGTAGAGGACGATGATATCAAACCAGCACTTGATGATTGTGATAAAAGCTCCAACATATTCTTCTGTATTCTTCTAATGGCCGCCATGAGGGGGGGGATAGAGATGTTGACGCTGCTGACGGTGGGGTTTTCTGTAGTTCAACGGGAAAGTAACCTAATTGGAGAAATGACCATAGTTTTCTTTGAAAAAACAGTCTGTGGCCGTCTAGAAACATAGCCCATAAGGCCTACAACGGCCCATCAAGCCTGGCCCAACTAAGTTAATTACAAAGATCTTCCGCTTTAAACAAAAGGTGTTTTTTATGTGTCTGTTGCTGCTAACTTCCCTCGGCTTTGGTATGCACCCTCCTGTAAATTCTATTGTTTACGTGGTTTCAAACCACACAATTAATGACCGCAGATAAAAAATAAAAAGAAAAAGGTAATCGAAAAAAATAAAAAAAACCAGAATGTGAAAAACTCCCTAATCTGTCAATTTTTAGCAACTTAGCCCACATACTTCTAAATGTATCGTGAAGTATTGAATTCAATTAGGGAATGTTTCGTAGCACTATTTTGGAGCTTTGAGATTGGATGCTCCAATTAAAAAATTTGTGTTTGGATTCTATAATTATAAACTACAATGAGTTTGGGATTATATTCCAATCCCAAACACACCAAATCAACAATTTCAATACCACGATGGAACTACGGATTTGAAATCTTAAAACCAACCCAACACCGCCTTCGTTCACTCACCTCAACCTGTAGATCTCTCCCCATACACAAAACAAAGAACCAAAAACGGGTGTAAAAAGGCAGAATGTGAAGACAATTTAAGATAATTAACATTTCGGACTAGATAATTGATTCAATAGGAGATCGAATTTCAACTTCAAAAGGCATAAATTGAAATAATATCTTTTGCGATTCAAAGCTAATAAAAACACCAATCCGGTTTTATTTGGATTATAAATTGATCCAAGAACATTTTAGCCAATAAAATTTTCAAAACTGGTTCTTTAGCGTTAATTTTCTAACTTTCAGCAAACTGCTAGGAATGATTGCAAATTTTCCAAAAATTTCTGTCCTTGCAAACCAATTAAAAGAACAAAAAGATACTAAATTGCCAGAAATAAGTTATTCATGAGAATTTTAAACATTTGCCCTTAAAAAATTATGCATACGTTTGACATATCATGCGTTGTGTTTACATTTGTCAAGCAATATCATGTGAGTTAACCTTTTGATTCTGCTCAACTTGTACACATTTGAGCCTCATGAAAACACCATCAAAACTTCTTACCAAAAAATAAAAAAATAAAATGTTCCATAATCTTAAAATTGCTGCATAAATATATATATATATATATATATATATAAATGGTACCATTTCCTTCAATTTTGCCATTATGTTGCCAATAGACAACAAGTAGTTGTAACTTCTTTTACAACACAGTAACATGTAGGGTATTTCTCTCAGCCTATCAAGCACACCTGCAAACATTAAACAACATGCTGGAAACTACATAATGCTAAAGAATAATTTGTTCTTGTCCGACAAGTTACCAACAATCTGGAGAGAGAGAGAGAGAGAGAGAGAGAGATTTTAACTCTTAACAAGTGATTAAAAGGTATCACGTATGATTGTCAGCAGAACTTCCACCAAGCAAACAACTTGATTTACAGCTCTGATAACTTGATTTACAGTTTCCTCCTGAAACAAACACAACTTCATGCCATATTAACACTAATTTGAACACAACTAGTTTGACAGACTGACACAATGCCAACTACTTAACCAATCAACCCACATTGAGAAAACCCCAATTATGTATCAAGCAACAATCAAAAGAGAAATAAAGATATAGACCTAACCGAGCATGTGGGTGCAACCCTAAGGATAACTGAGAAACTGCGAAACTTTGCTCCACATGGACCAAGTAAAGAGCTTATATACAGAACTGCTAACTTCTCATAGGGTACTCATAGAAATCTACCGATAAAGTCGCGGCAGTTTTATGTAGTCATGATTGATGCCCTTTCAGCAATGCTTGGTAGAACATATCGATGAATTGATTGTCCTGGCACAAGGGCAAACCAAAAAGAATGACTGGAGAAGTTCAATTGCGTGTAACTGAAGATAGTATAAGCTCAACAATCCCAGAGATATATAGAATTTAAATAAAATAAAAATAAAAATAAAAACATCAAATTACTACTAACATTATATTATTCTTTTAATAGAAGATAATTGTTATTACTCCTGTTGCAGTAATAAATTTTGTTGCCCGGGTTTTTTTGGGCCTTGCAGAAGCTGTGCTTTCAAGTCAATATTAATACAGGAAAAAGGATGCTTCGAAAACTCTCTTTTCTCTAACTAAGGTGCTATCTGATAACTCAATTAAGTACTTAAAACCTACGTAAGTGGACTCTCAAAAAATGAATAAAGTACTCATACCAAACACAACATTCAAGCATGTGTGTGTGATGTATTGTACACATATGGTGAAAATGCACCCAACAAGCATATCAATAATTCAAATCCGTAATGTTATTAAATAAAACTATCTTATTGTAATCCTTTTCGTTACATTATTGTTTGAAAACGAGGGAAGAGTCTATATTGAAAACTATATGTTACATATAAATATTATTTCACTCTTAAAGAAACAAGAGAAGAATATCAAATAATATTAAAATTTAGCCATTTCCCTATGTATTTAGATTTTCAAATAATTATTAATCTGACCTTTAGACACTTCACATCTGACTTTTTTTTTTTTTGGTAAGTAGACACTTCACATCTGACATGCGGAATAAAACTTAATAAAGTACTTGATTCTCCAATTATGTTTGATAATGCAATTGGAGAGTACAATTATTTTTGATAAGGCAAACATAAATACTGCCAGAGCACCAAAGAAGTTTCAAATAACTACATATGCAAATCCATGTGCCATATGTAAAAAATTATTCTAGAAATAAGATTATAGGATATAAAAGGTGAAACTATAAACTAAACAATTTTCATACTTTAATTTTTGTACTACTAAATAGTTTTAACAGATTCAACACTTCAGATTCAGACACTGCTAAGCAAAATTTCAGATAACACTCCGAATTAAAGCGCTTAACATTCAACTTACAAAATTTTCATAAGTGCCACAAAACATCACCTAATTCTTGTAACATGGTTCAAACAATTGTGATCGAGCCTCAACTCCTTTCTTCTTGTTCTTCTACTCCCATTACAATCATTAATACTACTGATCCATTTTCCTAATATTAAAGGCCTTCACCCAGTTTTCATCCCACTTGAGAGGCGGTAAACTGGATGTAGACCATTTTGCGATTTGTGCAAATGACTCGAAGCTAAATTCTCATGCTTCACACCCCTAAGTTTTTATCATTGCAACAAGCAACGGCCAATACCATTTTACTAAATTGTACAATATAAATAAATAAGTAAATAAATCAAACCAGAACAAACTAGTGTACAGTTATGACTGAAATGAGTGAAAACTAATTGCTCAAATCTAAACCAATAGGATGCCACACTATTTAAATTGGAAACTTAAGCTGCATTTATGAAAATAGCACAGTACAGTGGATCAAAGTATATAAATAAATGAATGAATACTTAAAAGGGAAACCTGAGGTTGCACAAGGCTTCAATCGAGCAATCATCAAGCATCAAAATTCTACTAATACCAAAAATAAATAAGTAAAAGTAGATATTAAAATTTTCTAAAGCCTTGCAATACTTCGTTTTAGACATTATTTTTTTTCTTATTTGGTACTCACATACACATGTCTCCACTGAGGCTTAAACCCCTGACCTCCTTTTGGGAAGTAGGGGCCTGGTACCGCTAGGCCACTGGATTGTTGGTTCATTTTAGACATTATTGATAGGCTGTAAATTAGAAACAAGGCTGCTTCTTGTTGCAAATTTGAAATTAGGTGATAAGCCTGACCTGTGCAGGTAATAAATTAATCCTAGAGCAACAATATGCAATATAGTAACAAATTTGAAAAAATAAATATGTTTGTAAATATGAAGAATTGTTCAGTAAATAAGAAAATAAAACCAGAAATCCAGGGAAAAAAGAGAAAGCAAACCTAGAATACCTGAGCAAGTATTAGAAATGCATCACGAACTTTGTCTCTGTTCACCAGTCCATGAATTGGAGTTAGAGTAGAATTGGGAGTAAGAGACGGTGATGGCGTAGGTGGCGGAAAGGGTTGGAGCAATGGAGTGCCATGCGGACTTTGCAGATTTAAGGGAGGTTGAAGAGCAGCAGTGTGCATAGGTGAAGAAAGAGGTGTTGGCATCAATGCTGATAAGGAAGTAGGGGGTGTAAAGAACAAAGAAGGCTTGACAAGACTGGTGACCTGATTGCCACTGTTGATTTGGTCAGAAGTATCATATAGATGCATTGGAGGAGCTGATGAAGCCGACAGTGGAAAGGATGGAATTTCTTGGGCTGGTGGCACAGGAGAGGGAACACCGGGGACATGGGAAGATAAAGGAAAAGTCGTGGAAGCATAGTAGGGGTTTCCAGAAATCATCCCATTTGAAGCATTGTGTCCGATATTCATAGCTCTCTGCAATAATAGAACTGTAATAAATCAGTCCAGTGACATATAAACAACAAATAAAGCCTATACAAATGCACAAGAATGAATTACTTTCAGTCAGGAATGATACAGCATATTAAAATGTTGCATTTAGAATACAAGTGGGAGTACCAAAATCCATAAGTAATTTTAAATAAAACCTCACAGCTCACACTAGATTCTTCTCCCCTCCACCCCCCCCCCCCCCCCCCTCCCTTTTTTTTGATCCAGCTTACCTGGATGTTTGCCACATCGTACCACAACCCACCTAAGCTGTTCTTAGAAAATTCTTTTTATTATACTTTAATTATTTATTTATTTTTATAGAAGATGGGGTTAACACTGGCATCCATTCCACAGCAACTAATATGCTATCGCTGGATCAACTCACCACTTTAGATTCTATAGATAATAATAATAATAATTTTATAACCCTATTGTATACAAAAAATAACAACATTATACATGCAGTTCAAGATATGTACAAAAAATACTTCCATTCCCATATCACTTTAGTCCTTCTGAGCATTTCCATTTTGTTTTTTAAACTGCTAAATGACTTTATATATTTATATCCAGTAATTTGATATTTACTCATATATTTGCCAGTTCTAGTATTGGGAATTTAAATATCCATTCCTATGAAATATTTTTCTTTTCTTTTTGTACCTAATTATTGAAAGCAATCAAACATTGTAAGGAACTTAAAATACCCTTCTAACAAGCCTATCACTTTCCACTAAAGGTTTGCTGATACTAATATTCCATGTTGATAAGAAACACATCTATGCAGTCACCCATCAATGGATGATGCAGCTGTATGTAACAGTCCTTCAATGTATGAAAATTATCTCAAAATTAGCACATTTTTTGGGTCCATCTGAGAAATTGACTTGATGTTTGTAATCCCGCACAGGTAAATTGTACAGCATTCATCTCCGGGACACAAATGATATGTACTTGTTGAAGAAACAGCAAAGTTATTTATTATTGTTATTAATAGCAACAATACTTGATAATGAGAACTCAATATTATGTCATTCTTGGAAACAAGTTTAAAAGATCCTCAGACCTTAAATTGGGAGTTTCAATAAGCAACAAACATGCTGTTCATGCCATTTGCAAAGACAAACATCATAATTTAATGTCAGGATAAATTGCCCCACCTTGGGGTTGGGTATCGCATATGGAGACCGAGGTCCTAATGGGAAAGGCTGCATAAACGCGATTTTGAATTGCATAAATTCTGAGAGAATGACAGAAAAATTGAGACTTGTGATCCATCGGGTGGGTTAAGAATCTTAAGGTAACCTCTGATAAGAGGTTATTATTACAATTTTGAATTTCTTTTTTTAAAAGGCTTAAATGCATCGTAACAACCCTCACCCTACCCAGACATAATATTATCCGCTTTTGGCTCCCCTGGACCAAAGACTTCCTAAGAGGTCACCTATCCTGGTACTACTCCAGAGTAAGCACGCTTAACTTTGGAGTTCTGATGGGTTCACGGCCATCACGGCTTCAAAACGCGTTGTGTCATACGGTGTTGAACTTTACATATAGCACTTTACCTTCCCCAGGCGAGGTGGGATCGTAACACCTTGTAGCCTGCCAGTGTGGTAACTCGTCCAGTGTCTCGCACCCGCCCACAAAGGTCGTCACATGCATGGTCCATAAATAACTTCCTTATTGCCACTAGTTGGCTATTTGATCATTTATTACCTAGCTCAAAAGTGTACTTAGCTCCTAAAGTAAACTCCTTAACTTTGGTATTAAAGAGTGTTGTTTTTTTTTTCAAACATTGTGAATATATTATTGAATGAATAGACGAAGATTTTCATAATCTTTTGTGCTTTCATGATGAGCTACAACTGGTCAGCTGGTGTGATCCCCAAAAACCCAATATCAAGAAGTGAGGAGAACTCTGGATATCACCAGTTATTTCCTTTTATAGTTATATGTAGCTCATCCATGAAAAATATTAAGTTTTGTAACTCAAAAGACCCACTTTGACTCGCTCTTTTTCAATAAAAAGCAATCCTGTCCTTGAAAGAACTTGTTCCTCTGTCAAGAAGATTCCACAATTTAGCAAAGAAAGAACCATATGATTGAAAAGGCAAAGCACATGCCCATCATATCCAAGGACAAACTAGGCAACATAAAATTGCAACACCTTGTGGTCCACAACAATATAGACACAGAGTAAAAACTAGAATCCTTGCAAGGAAGAATACATACACCAAAGAAGCTCAATAAAGAAGAATCTTCAGGTATATCTACGGAGGTAGAGACAGTAAGTGATGGTTCCACCGGTCCTTCAATCACCGCATTGGTTGGGACAGCTTCAAATTCCTCAAACTCACTACAAAGTAAGAAATTAATTGGAAAAAAAAAGGACAAGAAAATTAGAAACTTCAAAAAACACAAAACATGCTCAATCAACAAAATCATCTTAAGGATGCAACAAATCAGACCACAAAACAAAATTCAATGCATGAGTAACACAGTTCACTGGATCATTAGTGTAATGTGCAGAGCATTTGATTCCCAAATGGTCCGTTGCTTTCATTCACCCAGAAACATAGTTGTTAAAGGCGCCTCCAAGCGCCAGCTTCTCGCCTTGAATGGCTTAAGGCGTTGCAGTTTAACAAGGCGAGCGCCTTTGTATACAGGGCGCAAGGCTACAGGCGCTCTAAAGGCGCGCCTGATTGAAAAATGGTTTTTTATTTTTACTTTTTTGTTATTTTTTGGTTTTTTTATTGTTTTTTATTTGTTTATTGTTACTTTGTATTTGTTTATTACTTCTCATGACTACAAAACTTACAAAAAAAAAAAAAAAAAACCAAAAAAAGCAAAAGGAAAAGGAAAGAGGAGACAGAGGCAGTGAAGGACTCTCAGATCTGCGATCTCTCTCAGTCAGTCAGTCTCGGATCTGCCGGTAAGTTCTCCTTCTCTCTCTTCTTCTTCTTCTCTTCTTCTCTCCTCCTTCTTCTCTCTTCTCTTCTCTCAAGTCTCGCCAGATTTTTTTATTTTTTATTTTTTATGCTTGTCTAGATTAGTGCCTTGCTGCCCTTGCATGTGTTTGATGATCATCCCCTCTTTGTTTCTGTTGATTTTGAAAAATAGAATCAATTAATGGTGCTTGCAGCTTGCAAAAACGTTTTATTCGTGCTTAATGAAGATTAAGCATGAATTTTGTGCAAATTGGGTATAAAAAAGAAAAGGAAAGAGAAAAATACATTTTTTTTTTCAAAAGGTACTGAAAAGGATCTTAAAAGGTACTTGTTCCAGTTTTTGAACGACTTGTTGAGTATTGTTAATAAATTTCAGTATATCATCATCTCATTACTTTTAAGTTTTAGGTGTGAATGCTGGAGACTTCCTCTCTGCAATAGTTATAGATGGCATACAAATCCAGTAATCCTACATTCTGTGATCTGCAATTGCTCACATTGTCATTGAATTTCTCCATTATCTACTGTTTTTTGTGTAAATCTTCATGAAAAAAAGTCTCTGGTTTGTCCTTCGTACCATGTTCAGATGATTATACTTAGAACACATGGAAGAGCATTATACTACTTGATCAAGTGTCCCAAAAAAATAAAATAAATGCCATTACTTGAACCTCAATTATATCTGGTGCGGACTTTTCTTTTTTTATTTACATTTTAAGATGTTGTTGCAGACACTGATTACATGATGCTAATCATGCTATTATTTGTTATCTTGAATTTGATTGTAGTTAACTTTTGCATCTTTATATATACTATTGCATGTTTAATACTTTATTGGGTGGGTTTTTTTTTTTTTTTTTCAACGTGCGCCTTGCTTCAGTCAGGCGCGCGCCTCGCCTTGCGCCTTAGGCTCCAGGAGTCATTTGTGCTTTTGTGCGCCTTGAGCCTTTAACAACTATGCCCAGAAAAAGAAATCAATGGCAAACATTTTTGTTGTCCCAAAGACATTCTTTCCCACAAAAGCCCAATTGCTGCATCCACAATCTGAACTCTGAATTCTATGTCAACCTCCACATTTCTAGTTTCAGTTTTAGCCTATGTTTACTGAAGGGAATGAACCAGGAGGAAGGGAAAAGAGGATGATTGGAACAAGAAAAGGTAAACCCAGTGCACGAGGCTCCAACCATTGCGGGTTTGGGTAGGTTTAGATGTACGCAGCCTAATTGCTGGATCCACAATCTGAACTTGGACCTCAAATTCCATCAAACTCCAAAAATTATATATACTTGCTCTAAGTAACAACCAATATTAGGACTTCCCCCTTACCCAAACTTCTCATAAACTTACAGAACAGACAACCTAAACAATAAATTACAAGTTCGGAACTAGACTGATTCTCAAAATTATTCTTTCAACTTAATCTTTATTCCACAACTATGTGCAAATATTATAGACTAAGGCCCATAAAGTTCAAGTTTGGTTTAACTGGAACTAGTACACTTTGTGATCTCATTGGTTTTCAAAACAAAACATACAAGCTTTTCCCATGGGTCTTTCATTTTATTAAATCGGTATTGCAGAGAACATTACACTGGAGTAATTTAAAAATAAAACTGAAATCTTCCTTACAAGTAGTCTCCAATTTATTTCATCTATGTCGTTATGTAAATAAGATAAAAATAAATAAATAGTTAAGGAATAAACTACAAATCTCTCTAGATGGATCAAAACCAATCAGGAATTGACTATTGAGCTCTCTTTATAAAATCATACCTCTCTGTGTAAAGGTTGTAAGGGCCTTCCCACCCCCCACCCCCTCAACCAAAAGAAAAAGCAAAAAGGAACAAAAAAAAATAATAATAATAATAATAATTAAGGATTTTTTCTTTCAATTATTTAAATTTCCAGTTATTAAAGCTTAAACAAATAATTAATGTTTCATTCATTATATTAAGTATGTAGGAGAGAACTGTGGCTCATTTTTATAGAGGATATGAATTGGAGAACTTCACTAAAACTTAACTTTGTGCATGGATGAGAAAATAATTTTTTGATTTTTTTCTCAAAATGAATTTTAAAGGATGCAAAAATTCAAAATCCTTTTTTATTTTATTTTATAAAATATCCGAGTCTCTTAGACACTTAACACGCCCTTGAAAAGTTCACATTCGCTTGTCTCAGCTCATTAGCTGACTTGACTACAATCAAACTTACAACCACTTATAAGTTAACTAAGAATGGACGCCCGCCACCAAAGACCACACATACAAAACATGATCATCTCCTTATCAGCCAGCCCAGTAATAAATTAGATCCCCACACACCAGGATCATCTCTCATAAACCACCAATTTCTTATATTATCAAAAAAGTAAGAAAAGAAGAGATTAAAAGATTGAACTTTGAACATCCATAAGACGAATCAAAAAACTGCTTCTCTTAATCCAAAGAGAAACTTTGATGCCCATTATAAATATCATTGTTTTAACTAGTTTTCATACAATTCAAAATTTTGAGCATTACTTTTTTTCCGTATCTTTTTCACACTGAATTTTGCAACTACAATGTCTTTGCTTTCTTTCCAATATCATACAGTATCTCATGAACTTTCAACACCACATTAACGGCTTAACCAAACTATTTACAATTGGCTACATGGATCTAGATTCGCCAATTCTGTGAAGCCATAACTTCAGTTAAATCATAAGCTATCATGCCTTTCCATGCTATCACATGTTAATCTTGATCCATCTCTTCACTCAAATATTATTCTTAATAAAAATTATCATTATCATCATCAACTCTGCCTTTATCCCATATGAATGGGGTCTATCACAGCATTATTATATAATTTTTAGAAGTCATTTCTAATTACTTCATCGCATATCAATTTTCGTCAATCTTTTTGACTGTTACATTCTATAAAAATTAATCTTCATTTTTTTATGAGTGCATCTACGGTTTTAAGGTGTATATGACTCAAGTCCCTCCTTTTTTTTTTCTTTTTTTTTCTTTTTTTTTTTCTTTTTCCAATAAGCACCTCAATGGGACCCATATCAATCTTAAAATATGGGCTATATTAAAACCCAGCCAGTTTTCCGAACACCGTACTTACTTATAGTTGACAATCAAGAAAATATCTCAGGTTCGGCTACTTCCTCCCCTACCAACCCAAAATACACAGATGGTCGCTTCATCAACAATCTCTTCCCACTTCTATTCCTCTCCCGATACGAGTTATTTCCTTTAAGGGTTCTTGCCCGTGTGTTAATGAATGTTAATCCATAACCAAAATGTCAAAGAGTTCTATGCTCTACAAGAAAGATCCAAAAACTTTTTTCCCTACCATGGCCTATTTCTAAGGTCCACATTTCCTAATCCTAGACAACCTTCATGTTTTGGTTGGCACACCAGCTCCCACCCAACCATATAGTCTTTTCCAGTCCTCCTTTGGTTCAGACCAAAGTGAATCCTTTTGGATTCTATTAACCGCAGCAATTTTCACTTTATACAAGAAAGATAATAGAAAGTTATATGGTCTAGGCATGATTTAATAAGAGAAATTCTCCCTCCTAAAGGAAATAAATTGTTTTCCTCCTACCAAGTTGCTGATAGAACTCTACAGCAGGATCCCAAAAGCCTAGAGCTATAGGATTACCATCAAAAAGAAGACCTGTACTTAAGTAGACATTCACCAATCCCACAACCAAATGGGGAAGCTAGACCATGCAATCTATCCCTCTAGAAATTATTGATAGCTATAAAACTCTCGTCAATGTTAAATTTAAGACCTGAAACTCTTTCAAAGCACCGTTGATGCATCACGTCTTTCAAAGTTCATTTCATAGGAGGTCTCATGAAGTTTCCATGCTATGAGTTACTTTACATGATATCCACTTTATTCCAAGCTGGCAACCGATGGATAATAATAAATTTCTTAAAGAGCTTAGGGCTCTCCCTCCCCTTTAGATTTTCATTCTCTTATGATCTCACATTTTTTGAGAGCACTTTCCAACCTCCCTCTCCTACACCTTCCCTCATCAACTCTTTATTTCTCCCTTTATCACTTAAGTTCTACTTTTGATGCAATGGTACATTTCTTTATGAAGATAAATAATCCAAAGTTAATAAGGAATAAAATATATAGTTATAATGAGCTTTTAAAATTGATTTAATCAGTAACTGAGGCTTATTACTTTCAAGAAAATACTACTTACCTTTTGCTTGAAGATATTTTTGGCTTCGGAGGAACCTTTGAGTATGCACTGAGTATCCTGAACAGAGATGAGCACACAGAATAAAATGAGAATTCACCAACTAGTCATTAATCTCAACTAAATCTAGAATTGTCCTACCATGTCCATAGAACAAGCATATCATTATGAATACAAAACTATCCAGTCTCCTTGACCTAAATAATTCCCTTTCTAAGCAGAAAAACACAAAACCCAAAAAAGAAATTCAGAAAGTACATATTTTTAACCAAAACAGCATGGAAATCATTGGAACTATAATCAGACGCATATTTTTTAGACATTTTCAACTACGTGAATAATTGAAAATCAAGTATCAAACTGAGAATTTTAATATATCATCAACTAATGGGAAATCTTTACAACATTTCACTCTAACATGGCTGATGTTACAGAACTTTTCATCTCTTATTTTCTGTAGTTGATTCTATATTCCAGGTTGCTAATCAAAGCATATTCTCTAGGAAACTTCTTTCACTGAATTTGCCAATTGTGTACAACCCTTACCAGCTTCTTACCACATACGAGAGCACCAACCAGTACACAGCTTCTGACGTCCCCATCGACACATTGCTAATTACTCACTACAGCCAGAGGCCAGTATGTCATAGCATTTAGGGAAAATAGTTTACTATAAGACTGCCAGAACTCGTATTTGCAAAATCCTCAATATAGATTTATGAAAGAAGTCTACTACATGATCCCATGCTTGAGCTTGAACAACTTCTCCACCTCTCTACCGATGTGGGACCAAAATAAGATACCAAACATAAGATAGTCAGAGTTACCAGAATAATCATATCCACGTGGTCTCAAACCCTTATTATTTCTTGCTTTATGATTGTGGGCAACGAATTCGATACTAATTCTTACTCTAGCACACAGTTTCCATCTTTTTGGGTTCCTCACTCTAATTTGTTATAAATGATACACAAGCAACCACATATTAACCAAAACTTGAACTATGCACCTCCCCCTTTGGGGATGGCACCAAAACCATTTAAATTAGCAACCAGTGGTTCCTTATTATTGTTATATCATCACCAATAGCATTTTTTGTTCAAGATCCAAATTTACCCCCAGTATGCGTGCTTTATATTTTCCTGTTATGTATAAGACTAAACCACACTTTGTTAAATAAAAGAGCAAGACAAGAGCAGTAACAAATATTTGAAATCGGCAGTACAATTTCTTAAAATTCATACTATAAGTTCCAACAAAATCAACTTAATAAATGTGTAGTAGAACATCATATAGCTTCCTTCATGTTGATGTGAATGCAATGAACACATTCATTGAAATGCTATTAATAATTTAAATCTCGTTGCATTTGAATCTATCAACATATTAATTGTTTTTCAAACTTAATATATACAGCATACTCACCAGTGAGCATTTTTGGTTATTCGGTGTAATCTATGTCAGAATATCTTTTCTCATATAATTAGCACCAGTCGGGACTAACATCTGGAACATCGTTTTAGTTTCCTTTTTTCTTTTTATCTTTTATCTTCTTCTTTTTTATAGCTTCAACTCAGAACATTTTTAGTTTACTACAAACGTATCTAATTTGGGATCTCCATTATATTCATCAACTTAGATATTGAAAATTTTACCTTATCACAATCCCATCATAATATCATTCTAGCATAAACGAATAAGCAAGTATGCCCCTTTTAGATTGGAAAAGAAAACAAGGCAGCAATGAAATTTTATGATCATTAAGGTCCAATCACGATATCATTATAGCATAATAGAATAACATGAATATCTCTTTTAGTGATTGGAAGAAAAAAAAAAAAAAAAAAAGCAACAAGATTTCATGCTAATTACAGTCTAACAAGCTCAGTTAAAAAGGCAGGCATAACAGAAATTAAAAATCCCCACAAAACAGATCTCCAATGCATTTGATACATGGAAAGGAAAATGTACAACAATAATAAGGCATATCTTTCACAATTATGGATGGATTTCAAATATATAATTACAATCGAAAAAAAGAAAGAAAAAATAAAATAAATCATTCCATGACCAAAATATGATTATATGATTTATATATCAACCAAGCAAGGGCTTTACTGCTACAACTTTTAACTTAATTCTCAAGTCATTGTTTTTTTTTTCCCTAGTTGATACACACACATGCCTCCACTGAGGCTCGAACCCTAACCTCTCTTTGAGAAGTAGGGGCTTGGTACCGCTAGGCCACTAGCCTGTTGGTTTCTCAAGTCATTGTTAACAAACAACGAACGAGAGCATTCCCATAGCTCTGTCCAATAATGCGCATAAGATGTTCAAAATAGAATGCGTAGATGTATCACACAGATTATCTGGAAGTGGAAAAGAAAAAGAAGATTACCTGGTAAAAAGATTTGCAACATCCTCGCACTCATATGAATTGTAGAACCAGATACCATTAACTTCTTGGGCTGCATTCCGATACAACAGATACGGAACTTGAACTTCATACTCAAAATCCCCCAAGAGATTCTCCACGAGATTATCTGCTTACAGTAAAAATGTCAGCGCCATTCAATACAAATACATAAATGTATAAATGAGTCATTTGGCAAAAGCATCATTTTTAATTTTTTATTTTTGGAAAATGATAAAAGAATCAATCAATTTTTTAAACTGACTAAGGTGTGAAACATTGATTGAAACACTAACAATAGAGAGAATCTTATTGATTATTGTGTAAGACTTTGTTGGACATTGCTTATTGGAGTCGCCAAAAAACTGATTCGGGCATCTCTGCGTTACAATACTTGTCATAGTTCAATTTGTTCCGTACATATTTACCAGAGCACACTGATATCAAGAATTTAGTTCAGATCATTTATGACACAGGACGAAAAATATTACCATATGATAACCATCACAGAAACATACATATAATAGCAAACAATAAGCTTCACTCATAAGAATTTTCTAAACTATCAGAATATGCATAGTAAATGGAAGCAAATCAGTAATAATACAGAGGCAAGCTAACTAGTCAATGAACTCCATGCATTCTCAACAACATCCCAAATAGCATGATCAGACCACCACAACTACTCTTGAGTTGACAAGCTAACTCAATTCCACCTTCTTTCTTTTTTCTTTTTCTACCCATGGTGCATGATTTCCATTCATTTACCTTCTCCATTAGTTCGTCACATTTAAATTCCTTGACTTGTTAAACAATCGAAACCTCAAGGGAAAAAAATTAATTATAGACCGTATAACTAAGATCTAATTTATTAATATTTATCACATTAATGTTGGATTAAGAATGAAACTGTATGTATCTTTTCCCCATGTGAAGTACAGACATAAAATAAAATAAAAAACTAACAAACACCAACAATGAGAGAATAAAATCAAACCTGTATTGCGCCGGTTCATAACAATGAACTGGAATCGAGGCTGAGTATTCCTGCAATAATAGGTAAACTGATAGTTAATTTAACCGCATGAAGCCCCATCACGGTGACAGTCTCGTAAAAGGACCATGACTGACCAATGAAAGCAGTGAAGTCAATGAAAATCAAGAATCTGATAGATATTTATTTTATTTCCACAACTTCAATTTCTCTGTCGTTACAACAATCGCATATTTTTACTACTACCTCTTAACGACGAAGAGAGAACCTTCAACGTCCTTGCGACTCTGCACCCAGAACAATTAAATAAATAACTAACTAAACAAATAATCAGGAAAACAAACAAAGGATCAAGAAAGCTTTCAATTGACAGCCAAAAATACATATATATATATATATAGGGAGAGAGACACACATCAATTTCTTGAACTTTGAAAAAATTTACTTTCTATTTCTTTCTTCCAAAATTTTCTTGAAACCAAACAGAATGAAGATATGAGAAACAAACCCATTGGTTGAGTTCGATGTTGAATTCGTAGAAGGTGACGTGAGTGGCGGTGATCAAGATCTCTTCAATGGATGGATCTCTTCTCTGAAGCACGGTGAGATTTAGGAGTTTTGTACTGTGCTTGTCCAGATTCGGCATTATCTTTCCTGTCTGTGACATTTCTTCTCCGATCAGACACCCTTCCCAAATTATGAACCCTAAACCAGAGGAGAGACAGTATGGAGTCGTTTTAGGACGGTGACTAAGTTTTATATGGTGATAGAGAGAGTGTGTGTGTGTATATAACGCTTGACGGAGGAATGCTTTGCCATAGAGTTTGGGACTTCGGAGCCCAAAGATATTTAGGTACTTCTCTATATACGTAGTAGTCCATATACTGACGAAATATCGAATTTAGCCTTTTCTTGGAAAGTACTAACTCTCGTTTTTGTGGAATCAATAATTTATGGGTGGACGCTTTGATCAATCTATCAGCTAATATCTAATTTATATCCTATTACTTTTTAATAAAAATTTTAAAATAAATAATTCTTATAACACTAGACTCTCACAAAACCGAAAATAACCCAATATTTTTATTTTTGCTCGGAATGGAATCAATTCATTTGTATAAAATATTTTTTTATGGTATTAATGGCATTAAGCGTTTAAGTCTATATAGATTAAACACTTTCAATTATGACTATTTATTTAGACATAAAATATTTTTTAATTTTTTTAGTATTTGATTGTAAAAAACTTTAAAAAAATATATTTTATTAAAATCTAAAAAAATAACTTATTCATCAATTTTTATTAAATTATTTTACATACCCCATCCATGGACTCGATATCAATCTCGATGTAAACATTTGCCAAACACTCGGAAACAAAAAATATAAAGCATTTTTCCTACAAAATTAACTTATTTTTCAAGGAAGTTATTTTACGTCGAAACGTAGCAGATGTGCTACTTAAAAACTCAATTTAGCAATTAATTGATTAAGAGTTTATCTACTTAAGTGCATATGATAAAGCAATTTAAATATTACTAAAAAGGTAAGCACCACTTAAAATTAGTTAAAAAAATAAGCGCTAAATGAAAGAGACATCATTTATCACTGAATGCTAAGTGCTCAACATTAAAAAATATTTATTTTTTAATTATCACTTACAAACTTCAACGCTTACAATTCAGCTTTTAAAAATTCAGAACTTAATTTTTAGTTTTATCAAATAGAATGCACCATTTTTCATGTGTACTAATATTATGTCTTCCCCTATTGTTTTTGATCTCTCTTGTTATCGAAGTTAACTTTCTTCTTCCTCTGTCATAGTTGATTGAAACGAAAAAAATAAAATAATAATAAAAATAATAAAAAGAAAGTGAAGGAGAGTTCAATGCTGTTTGATTTAAATACTAAAATTTTAAAAGCTGTGTTTTAAATGTAATTATGATTTAAGGAATTTTTGAGTAAAGTTTGTTATTTAATTAAGTCGTATCTTACTAGTGCTATCAAGCATATTTAATTAAATAAACATTTCAATTTATTCCAGCATTATATTGAGTAAATAATCAAACAAATTACATCATCATATCTTACATTTATTATAATGAATTTGAGCTTTGCTTTGAAAATAAGGAATAGAGGACTAAAAGGTGGGGTCTTCTTGTTTTTTAAAGCTAACGGGCCCAATATAAAAATAAGAAAAGATGCCATTGAACAGTTCTTGTCTGAAACAGATAAGAGGCATGCACGGTAAAGAAACTCAAATAAGATAAAACTTTCAATAGAAGATCTAGCATAAATTTTGATGACACACCACATTTAACCTAATCCATCATGGTCGATCATCACACTCTTTTTTCCATACATCATACAATAAAAAAAAATTGCACTCAAATCGGAAAAACACCGAACAATGTAAAATCAAATCGAAACAGTACAGTACTTCAATCTTCTTAATTAATGGTTTCGAAGAGCCAACGCAGAGAATAAAAGCAGAAACATAAACGCCGCCACTGCCATGAACGATCCAACCACTGCTCCACTAACGCTCTGGCAGAAATCAGTGAACTGCTGACAGATTGGATTCCAATTTGCGCTTGGACTTCCAGTGTGAGCCAAGTACACTATGGCTGTAGCTGAAGAAGCTGCGGCTGTGATCAGACCAGTAATCACCTGCAATATATATATATAAGCTAGCTAAGATGTACCATATATATATATATATGAGATCAAATTATTGCAATTAAGCTAGTGGTGATTAGGGAGCTTACGATGTCACATATGATTAGAAGGAGCCTTGGTCCTACTGCATGTGGGCGAACTATGCACAGTATAGAGAATGGTAGGGAGAGTACAAGGTAGCTGCAAACTATTGCATTTGCAATTACAAAGAACCTGCATGCATGCATATATGCACATCAAGTATATGTATATATATAGTTACTTAAACAATTTCGAATTCATGCATGTCTTTGACTTAACATGCATGCATTAGTCGCGTGCACAACTCAGTAGCGAAGCGGGTGCGCGCGTGATTGAGTTTCTTCAAAAGGTAAAAAAAAATAAATAAAAAATAAATTAAATTTACTTACTGAAAAGTGGGTAGATCGTCGTAACCGGCTGAGAACTGAAAGAACTGGGTGAAAAAAGGTAGAGTCTGATCACTAGTTCCCATGGTGACACTTGCAGCTAGAGTAGCTGCGATGGCACCGAGCCGCAGAACGAAGTCGAATATTGCAAGGCCTTTCTTATTTCCTCCTTTTGGAGCTGCCAAAACGGGGCCTTTTCTGCTTGTCTCTGCAATGTCAATGGTGGTTGACTCGCCGTTCTTCATTTTCACTTGAGTTGCGAGATATATAACTTTGTATGTGTATGTGTGTGAGAGAGAGATATGTAGAGGAAGACTCGAAGGCTGTGATTAAAATGGATAGATGGGAAGACTTTATATAGAGGACCACGGAAGAGTTAATCAGTCAATGAACTTTGCAATTAATTAATTAAATTAAGTGGGTATATTAATCAACCCATGGAGGAATTGGTAGATCAAGTTGTTGATAACTTTCCAGTACATTGAAATTGATTATTTGATCACCTTTCAACCACATGGTAGTGAATATGGTAGGATTGTCTATGTCATATTCATGGTTAGTTATTATTGCAGAATACATATAGCTTTGAAAACACTTTAATGGGGAATTGAGGGAGTAGGAACTATGTATGGCTTTAAAATAAAATTAAAATACTATTTTTTTTATAAAAAAAAAAAAAAAGTATCAATTAATTGACTTTAATTAACAAAGTTTAGTTGTTTCCACAAACAGTCAACCAAACAACCAGCTTCTCCCTAATCCACTAATTAGATAAGGAACCTCTCTTCTCCTAATCTACTAATTACTATAATTTATAACATGACCCAGTTTCCTATATTAACGTTAACCACTCGAAGAACTCGAATGGGAATATAATAGGCGAAAAGTATCCATTTTTGTAGAGCAAATCGTGCCAAAATTGTGTAGTAGTAGATACAGTTTACCTTTTGCCGTGAATCTATTAATAGCCATGTAGGTTGCTTAAATTGCTTAGAAGCAGTATATATTGTTCGAGTAAGGAGCCTCCACTAAGCCCAAGTCTCAAATAAAAAGATGTAATAAAATAGTTGGAATATATATATATATATATATATAGCATATATGTCTTTTATTCATTGATGGCCTGCCATCTAAGTTGCTTAAAACAATTGCTTAAATCCATTGAAACAGAGATATTTATGACTGCGATCTTACAGCATGTCTCATCAAACAATACAACAGCAATATCTCAAGTGTAACTTGGAGAACTTCACTTTTCTCATACAAATGGCAATTTTGAGAGGTCAAAACAAAAGACGTAGTAGAAGTTACACTTTGCAATCCAGTTGTTTGAGGGATCCAAGTACTTTTTGCATTTTAACATGTTTTTGTTTCAAAATTTTGCCTAGTAAACCAATTGGCAGTGCTTTTGATATATCTCCCTTGCTACATTACATAAATTAACAAAGGCCCACATGCACCACATCACATAACAAAGACATGTGATAAGTGCTCTGAAAATGAGATCGATGTGGCTAAACATTGCTGGGTAATTTGTGTTTGTTTAGAAGGTAAGTGACAAAAGAGACCGACCAAAATTCGTGTGGAATGAATTAATAAAAAATGACTTAAAAAAATTAAATTTAAGAAGGATACAGTGTATAATTAAAAAAGAATTCATTTGGCGGGATGTATCTCAATAAAATAAAAACAATGGTTATGATGATAAGCAGACAAGAAGATCAATTTTATTTGACTACTGATGGGAGAAATTTTTTTGTTGCAAAATAAATCATCTGAATAAACAAAAAGCTATATTTGCATTTTGTGTACACGGTTCTTTATCGATGCGAGTTCAAAATACGTTGTATGAGATACAATGATTGTTGAAGGAATTCGTTGATTGTTTTCTTGATTCTTTTTATTTGATTAAAGTGAAACCTTTATTTCTTTTTGCAAATATAAATCACAGTGAAAAGTTAGCTGCTTAATAAATCAGGGCTGCTACAACTGGCAAGAAGATGTCAGACGATCAAATTCTTATTAGCTCACAAAGGTAATGTGATATAAAATATACGTTATAATTTAAAATTTATTTAATATAGGGCACTCAACACATACGTGGTTGCTCTTGCATGCTACTAATTAAACCGTATACACAGGTGGATAGTTGTTATAGGGCTAAATCACACCACAAATTTTTGCCTCTGTAATGGCACTTGGGGCCACCAAGTCTCAGCCAACACACAACACAATACATACAATATAGAAATGTAAAGAAGGCACACACAGTTTATAGGGACAAGCCCCAACCTTTGCTCATATTAAATATATTACAAAGGAACATGAGTTCGTACAAGAACCAAGGCTCACACCCTCCTAACTGTTCCCTCTACAAAGCCTACCTTAGCATTATATAGGCCACTCTCAAAACCGCCCATAACTGCCCACTAAGATGATGGATGACACCCCCATCCATCTAGGGTTGTGCTGACACCCTCTAAGTATGCCAGCACTACAATGCAGTTGACAAGCCTAACTGGTATGTAGTTGGCATGCTCTGCTCATGCCACATATCCCACTAGAAGTTGCACTCTGCATAGTGGAAGAAACCACCTCCAACCGCTTGCATATTGTCATCTCAAATTTGTGTCACTTGCATGAGAAGTTAATCAGCACACCCCCACTTCCCATAATGAGTGGGGAAGTGCTAGTAACTTCCCCCAACCAACTGAGCCCACTTAGCCCACTTAGCCATCTCTTGTAACTGCAAGCCATGACTTGTGTGATCCATGTTTTAGCAACATCTGAGCCAACCTTGTGAACCTAGCCCTTGCTAAGTCCACCATTCTGCACCCACATGTCTCTGAGTGCACGGTGTGTCATCCCATGCACGCTCGTGTGCACGCCCGAGTGTAAATCCGAGTGCACGTCGGTTCGCACGTTGATGCCAGGCCATGCACGCCCATATGCGCGCTGCTGCACGCTGGTGCCCATCCATATGTGCCATACTCGAACCCTCGTGTGCCCATGGCTACACGCCCGCCTAGATGCCCGCGCGCAAGCCAGCCTGCACGCCCATGCGCGCGGGTGCACACTTGTTTGCCCATCATTAGTTTAGATGCTCCTTTCTTGTGCAACCATCTTGGAGTGGTGCAACACGTGCCCATGCACGTTGGTTAAGCCCTCTAAACAAGCCATGCCATAGCCCAGCTGATGTGCTCAACAGACCCCCCTAGTATAGTCTTAAGGAAAATTAGCACTCTAACAGGAGTAAACATCACCCATGCTTGAGGAGTCATAAAGGCCTTTCAGGTCCTTCCTGACATCTAAATCGAGTGCCGTCTGCACCAACCAGCTTCTATGGACTTAATGTACCTCCCATAAAGATCCCGAGTCAAAACTTCAAGTTTCACTTTTCGCCACATTTACGAAAATGCCACTAGGCACCCCCAATGCACGTCGAGTATCCTTTTAAGCATCCTGTATGCACGCTAAGCATCTTGTGCACGCTGACAATCCACTGAGCATCCTCATGGCTATCTAACCAAAACCAAAGTATTCCCAAGACATGGCATGGCCTTGAAATACCCATGTCTTCCCTTGAACAACCGTCAAGGGGCTAACAATAGTCCACAAAAGGACACTGGTCTTCCCTGTGCGGTTTACACAAATGCACCAAAATGGTGTGGATGGAGTGCACTGGCAAGAGCCCAACACGGGCCACGTCGGGGTTGCATCAGCCAGGCACGGATCTGTGAACCCTAAATTTGTATATTTTTGTATTTATATTTATAAAATTTTGAAATTGTCTCTACTAAAATTATTAAAAAGACTCTCTAAATAAATTTATCCCCCTCACATGAATTCCTAGATCTAAGAGTCTCTATGCCATTAGCGCACTCGAACGCACCAGTTTGGTGCTTTTTTGGGTTAGCCGCGCGCCAAGAGCACAAGATGGGCCACCTAATTTGTCTGCACTTCGCGGTGCTATTTTGGTGACTTAAGAGTTTTGTCCATTAATGTAGTTTGGAGCTATGAACTTTATAAATTGAGTGACTTACCCAAAAAAAAAATAAAAAATTAATAAGATTATAAATTGAGTGAATTGACATTGATTGTTTTTGTTAGCAATTAGCATAACGTACTCCCTAAATTTTATTTAATTCTCGCACTAATGACCCAACCAAAAAAGAGTAAAAACTCTCAAAATCAAATGATCGATGATGATGCGTGTAACATCTCAACAGTTACTATTATTATTATTATTAGTATTAGTATTATTATTTCTTGCAATATAAATCCCCTGAATAAGCTAAGAAGGTAGTTGTTCATCATTATTTTTTCTCCCCTCCTATTTATATAGATCCTCCAATTCTTCTAATATTTATTTGTCTTCCACGTATTGGGCCTCATGGGCCCATCTCGATTTGGACTTGACTTCTTACATTGCTGGTATGGATTGGGAGGGTTATTCTTTGGGCTCCTTCTACTCCTCGGGCTGGACAGTGATATTGGGCTCACCATTGGGGTTTGATGGGCCTATTCTTCTTAGACCTGAATGTATTTGACCCATCAACATGTTTAATCCAGGTTACATTTCCACGGTACTCATGTCAAAATGGTCTCATTATGCATAAAAATCAGCCTAACCTTCAAAATATGTGTTATTTAAAATGATTCTTTTTTAATCTCTCTTTTTATTGGGCTCCCATGACCCGAATTAAAGACCTGGCCCATTTATTCAAGCCTATTATTGAGTTTATGTTTCTATTTTTAAAAATTAAGTGCATTTTTCACATAAAAAATAATGTTAAAATGGTCTTATTGTGCAAAAACTTCATCGTAAAATATATTAGATAAATTTATAGGATGCAATTAAAAATGATTTTTTTATAAAAAATAAAAATAAAGATGACAATTTAATTTGATTAAATAAGCCAATAAAAGAAAGTTTAATTAATCAAAATTTGATTGTACATATTGAAAGAAACTATCAAGTCCAAAGAGATCGCATTACCTCCAGTCATGAAATTAGTTTGGTTAATGCCTGCAAAACAAATTTGGAAATCCTAATGATGTTCACGCCTATACAAATCTTTATGCGTGTACTTGATGGAGACAACACAGACTACTTTTGTTAGGCATGGGACCTCTGTAAGGATTCTGTATGAATGAAACGAGAGAGAGCAATCCATCATGCTAACCCTTGTTTTAAACTAATCAGATAATAACCACCATCAACTTCCCACAACCACGCTCCTGT